TGAGCAAGGCAGACATTGCCTTGGTGAGGAGAGGTGTCTAAGAGGAGGACACACTAGCTTAAAAGAGAGTAGTGGGCCACTTTTCCCAGTTGAGAAGGTTCAGGGGAATATGATTTAAGATTTTCCCATCTATCCACCTAGATGTCTTCCTCCCTCTAATATCTCAAGGTCCCAATCGATAGCCCTGTCCTTGGTATAGCATATCTATCTGGCTTGAGAATTTAACTATCTCTGGAACTCTACTACTCTTATCACTAAGCCCTAGCCTGCCCTCTAGCCTTTTGTGCCCTTGAACTGCAGGAGACTAGTCTTTTTACATGCTGCCAAAAAGGTCGCCAGTTTCACAGTTGGCTTTTAATCAAAAAATAATAAACTTCAACATTTCATTATTTTTTCACAAACATTGATTGCCCCCAGATAAGCGAACCAGTTCCATTTTCCTCATATTTACCATTTTTCCTATATTTTCCCAGTACTTGACCTGTTGTACTCACTAGTACTATTCTCTCTGCCACTATGTCATCCCTGTTCTTCACCTGAGAAAACTGTAACCATCATATTGCTACCTTGTACCAGGGACAGTGTGTGCTCTACCTATTATCAATGGTTTTTAGTCTAAAAATCCTATCTTAGCATCTGCTCCATTGGATCCCTCCTGGTACCAACTCTTGAAAATCTGGGTGTGTGGGAAGCTGACTGAGATGGGGACTGGTATAGATAAAATGTGTTTGTGGATGCTCTCAGGATCAAGCTCTGTAGGGGAAAGAAGGAGGAAGAATTGGGTGGAGGGAGAAGTTGGGTTGCAAACACATTTCTTGGGAATTCTGAAGTTGAGCTAGCCCTTCAGAACTGTCCACAGTTGCTGCAAGGCTAGCCATTTGTACTCCTAAGTAGACCTATTATTTCCAGGGAGCATGAACCTGGGCAACTCACCTCTCTTCAGATGAGGGCAGTTCATAAAGAAGGCTGATAGAGAGGACTGTCATCTGGCTACAGTCCCAGAAAATAGGAAAATAAGTCCTTCACTCCTGAAGAAGAATCTTAATGGCACATTAGAGCATTTGCTAGGCTCCTCTTAGTTACCCATTCAAACTGAGCGTATAACATTGTTGGGGGAGGATATTAGAAGAGGGTTGTTCAGGAAGCTGTGAGTGTTTCTGTCTCCACCTACTTCTCCCCTTACTCCTCCCTATTCACATGCTCTTATTCCTACCACTTCCCTACAGGGTAATTTTCTTCTACTTAAAACCTAAGAAAGGGAGCTTTAATTGGTCCATGTAGAGAACTTGATGTGTATCTCCTGGAGCTCGCAGAATACTTAGACTGGTGTCTGACTTATACTGGCTAGCTGCCTTCTGTGAAGAATAAAGCAGTCAGTTATTTGGTGTTAGCTATGGCCATACATTCAGGCTCTACCATAACCCAGTCTCAAACCAGAGGTTGTTTGTCAAAAGGTGAAGAGTTATTTGCAGAGGATGACATAGCATTGTTTCCAAACCATAAAAGTGCACTGATATTTACCTATAGAGGCCCACCTAAAGATTCCTTACAATGCCCTATCTGTCACAGATACCTCCAGGACAATTTGGTCTGTTGGATCAGACAGCCCAACTAGCAGAGTGGATTACACTGTACCCTGGAACTATAGCAGAGCCTTCTCTTGTTCTGGGTCCACACAAAACTGTCAGCCTTTCACATAACTTGAAAGATGAGTAGAATTAGTCCACCAAGTGAAGTATGTATTTCCTTTAAAAATTCAAATAAGCCCACCAGGTGATATGCCTCTTCCTTGAGATGAAGAGCAGCCTGCTCTTCACTATGGAAAGACTACACCAAGTAATCACCAAGATGCTGAGATCGCAGGTCCCTGAATCCTTGTGGGATTTATTCCAAACCCCGTGCTATGCCTGTGTCTTACCAAATTGCTGTCTCCTTTTCACCAGGTACAGTCAGCACAGTGTTATCAGTATAGTACACAATACAATGTCCTGTGGATTGGAGAGGTAATTGAGGTCCCTAAAGGCTAGATTATGACATAGGGCTGTAGTTTTGAAGAAAAAATATGAGCTTGTATTGATAATCCTGTCAACTGAAAGCAAGCTACTTCTAATAGGCTTTACTAGAAGGTATAGAGAAAAGGTATTCACTAAATCAGGTGTCAAAAGATATGTTGATTTGTTCCAGCAATAAAATCATACTTGAAAAGCAGCTGCAATTGGAGTCAACATCCGATTAGATTTAAAATAATCCACTATAATTCTCTAAATCACATTTTACATGCACCAGCCAAATAGATAAGTTGAAGTGGTATATGTTAAGAATCATCATCCTTGCACCTTCAGTTCCCTGGTGATGGCACTGATCTTTGTAATCTCTCTAGGAATGTATTATTACTTTCAGTTTACTATTTTAGTAAGTAGAGGCAATTCTAGTGATTTTCACTTAGCCTTTACTATTATAATAGCATGATCTCCATAGGTCAGCGAAGTGACATGGGATTATGTGAGTTGCTGAGTATCTTTATTCCAATTGTTCATTCTGGAAGTGGGGAAACAACCAAAGTTGTAGCTGAGAGCCACTGGACCCACTATGAGGTGAACTTGAGCACTGTGAGTTTCTAGGAATTAGTGTCAGTTTAGAGCCAGTGTTCAGTAATCCCGGAAAAGTCTTTTTATTTCCTCTTCCCCAAAGCACAGCCACACTGGTAAATGACTTCAGATACATTTGGGAAAATTAGAAGAAAAAATTTACAGTATAAAACTTTGGCTGTGTAGCAATGTCTTCTTCAAGAGTACTTGGCCTCCTTTATTCAAGCTTTGGGCTTGTGAACTGACAAATTTAGGAATTGGTGAAGGAGCTATGATCCTCTCATGTTGTAATTCAAGTCAAATTCCTGTTCACCAGGCCTAGTGATTTTCCATTTAGACAAATCAAGTAGAATTTTAGGAAGCTGGCAATCTATCTCAATTTTAGGGATGCTATGATCAACTAGCTAACACCAGTGATCTCTGATTATACTTGGCTCTGCTTCTCATTACTGTGAATATACTTGCCTTGTGTTTGGTAATTAAATGCTGACCTTTTACCCTTACACAATCTACTAATCTCCATTGTATTTGGGAAGCTCAGTTTGATGATAACAGTTTTTATGGTAAGTCCAGGTCTACAGTGGGTAGCCAGCACTGAAATCTTCAAGGACACTGTTGCTCCTTCCACAGATGCTTTCCACACAGTGTTGGTGAAGAGACCAACTCCTGGGCCCTCCAAGTAAATATTTAGGCGATTGGTGATCAGGTTCTCCTAATGTAACATTCCAGTATTCCTATGTTTTCCCTTATATTGTGCCAATGATATCCTGGTATTTCAAGTTTATTTAGTATAGACCACATTTGGCTCTTGGTTTCAGTCAACAAGTCAAACAAACTTCTCCAGTCATTCCCAACTACCTGAGCTAATACATTGAATCTAAATGTTTGCAACATTCTTCATCCAAAGAGAGTCTAACTTCTTCAGTCAGGAGAAGAAAGGTTGCTTCTACTGTCAAATGAAGCTCAGCAGAATTTAGGGATTTATTGTCTCCAGTTTCACCAAAGTCAGCCTACTTGTCCCAATTCCTTTTTCAGCATCTTATTCTTTCTCAATGACTGCTCAAACTTTAATATTACAGAGGCCACAATTTTGGGAATACCATTTCCATTGTAATTCAACCATCTTTAGAATTAGACTTTTCATCTGTTTTGCAGAAATTTTGGCCCTGTCACTACAAGATGTAGTGTTTCTTTGGGGGCAGCCATCGAATCTTTCTGGTCCTTTATCCAGATCTTGGGCTGAGAATTTCAAACCCTGCATTAAACATATTTCATCCCAAGTTCTTCAATGCACTTAGAAGAAACCACCCATCCCAGTAAGATATATGCCTTAGTTTCACTATAATATTCAATAACTAGCTACTTGCTCTCCCAAAGCTTTGCCTTCTGTAGGTACTTTACTATAGGTGTCTACAGATGATGATTAAGTATCTGATTTATCAATACTTTCCTTGGACTATGTGAGTTCTATTCACCAATGGAAATGGAGTCAGCGATACCTTTAATCTTATCAGATCAGACACCAATTCCAGATATTTTAGAGCCAATTCTGAGAACTCTTTCCTGAGGTCTTGTTCCTCTGGAACATTCCTGTCCAGTAAAAGTATGTGAGCTACAAGTGCAAATTACCTCTGTATTGTTAAAATATTTAGTAGCCACATTAAAAATGTAAAAAAAGGGCTTCCCTGGTGGCGCAGTGGTTGAGAGTCCGCCTGCCGATGCAGGGGATGCGGGTTCGTGCCCCGGTCCGGGAAGATCCCACATGCCGCGGAGCGGCTAGGCCCGTGAGCCATGGCCGTTGAGCCTGCGCGTCCGGAGCCTGTGCTCCGCAACGGGAGAGGCCACAACAGTGTGAGGCCCGCATACCGCAAAAAAAAAAAAAAAAAAAAAAGGTGAATTAATTTAAATAATTAATTTAATTTACTATATATAAAACATTATCATTTCAACATGTAGTCAATATAAAGATTATTAATGAAATGTTTTTATTTTTTCTTACTGCCTTTGAAATCTCGTGTATTTTATAGATGCAGCACATCTCAATTCTGACTAATCACATTTCAAGTTGCTCTACAGCCACATGTGGCTAGTGGGTTCTGTGTAGGACAGCACATATCTAGAACTCCTTCCATTCACAGTTTCTGTAACAGTTTGATTAAAGAAGCAGAACAACATAAGTGATACAGAGTAAGAGATTTTTATATAAGGACTAGCACTTGCACAGTTATTGAACTTGGACTAGGTATCTCTGTGATGCTTTGATATTGAGAGTGAAACCATTAGCTATTAGCCATTAGGTATCAGTCAGATCAGTAGTAGAAAAGAAAGCTGGATACATACAATGCCTAGGATAAGGGACCCACTACAGTGAACTGGAAGCAGCATCATTCTCTCTGTCTCCAACTACTGCAGGGAAAACAGGCAGGGGAAGCTGCAGCCCTCTACCACGACTTGCACACTCACCTGGCCGAGAACTATAAGAAGCTGGAAGGAGACTCCCCATATCATCAAAAGGAGACCGCAGATGGGTGAGTACAAGTGTGAGATGCCACAATGCATGGTACTCTACACTAATCTTCTGAGCATAAAAAATATGGCTGCTGCTTCATTTCTACCTTCCAAATTCATTCAAATTTTATTTGTGGCCAATATGAATCTAGAACCATATAGTGCAGGAAATTATGAAACATTCTCATCCTGGTTAAGGTGACACAATAATAAACCACTTCAACTATGTTATGTTAAAATTTTTAAATTAACAAGTTGAGAAAATTTATATGCAATATCACAGGAAAGATGAATATCACTAGTCATTTATAAAACAATATTAACCACCAGTGAGTAAACTGAACAATAATCATTCTCAAAAAATAAAAGAAAGCTATGAAGGGTCACAAAAACAGAGCCTCATTTCTAAGAAAAAATAATGCAAAAGAAAAATATATAGCTAACAATTTTGTATTTTTTGTGGTCAGGGTGCTATGAACATGCTGTTGCTGGGTGGCATAAAAATTGGTATAAAGTTAACAATATATAATTTTTTTAAATGTCTCATGGCTTTAAAATGTTTCTATTTTTTACTGTAATTCCACTCATTTGTTATTCATATTTTAAAATGTATAAATTTTACAAATATCCAAAACAAAAGAATAATCATATAAAATACTTTTAAAATGTGTAAAAGTGATAAAAGCCAGATACATCACCATGTGTATAGTTATAGTATGGTTCCAATTTTTAAAAATAAACATTATAATGGCATATTTCTCTGCTTGGAAAAAGAATCTTGGAAGGAAATATTTTAAGATGTTAACAGATATTGTAAGTTATATTTAATTAATTTATTATACTTTCTTCTCTTTTCTAACATTTTTGAGATTTTCATGTGATTACTAAATTCTAAAGACTAATCAGTATCGTTAAAATGTTTACATTAATTTAACGGTGTTTTCTCAAACTGTTCTGTACGCACCAGATAGAGTTACATCCTTTTTTTTTTTTTTTAAATAATAGATCATAGGTAATGCTTTAGTGGATACTCTCAATAAGTTTTCTAAAGTATTTGTACCGATTTATACTTCTACCAGCATTTAATGAGCATTCCAATTGCTCTACACTCTTGGTAATACTCAGTGTAGTCAGTCCTTTTCGTTTTAGCCATTCTTGTGGGTGTGCAGTGGTAGTTCACTGGTGTTAGTTTGCACTTTGCTGAGAAGTAATTAAGTCGATCACCATTTCGTATGCATACAAGCAATTCACATATCCTCTTTTGTGAAAGTATTTTTCAAATCCTTTGTCTATTTTTATAGAGTTTTCTGTCTTTTTTTATTGTAGGAGTTTCTTTATGTGTTGGATACAAGTCCATCTCATGTATATGTATTGCAAAAAAAAAAAACCTTCTCCCACTCTATACCTTGCATTTTCATTTTCTATTTTTTTAATTGAAAATAATATCTTAATTTTAAAGTAGTTCAACTTATACTTTTTCTTTAGGGTTAGTGCTCTTCATGATTAATATCCTATTTAAGAAATCTTTGCCTATTCTAAGGTCAGGAAGATATTTTTATATGTTATCTTCTAGAAGCTTTACTATTTGCCTTTCACATTGAGGTCTATGATCCATCTGACTTGATTTTTGTATATCACGTGAGGTAGGATTTAATACCGTTTTCCCTAAATGGATTACTTTGATTAAGCATCGTTTATTTTTCAGATTCCATTTCATTGCAGTAGTGATTTTGCCTTAAATTAGATGGCTACATATGTGTGGATCTAAATCTATATACTTTCTTCTATTCCACTGGTGTCTGCCTATCCTGCATCTATACCACATTGTTTTGAATACTCATAAATAGTAGCCTCATAAATAGTCTATATCTAGTAGTATACAACCTTTAACTTAGTTCTTCTTCAATTTTTTTCTTAAAATTGAGATAAAATTAACGTATAACATTATGTTAGTTTCAGGTACACAACATAATGATTCAATATATGTATATGTTGCAAAATGATCAGCACATTATATCTAATTAACAGCCATCACCGCACAGTTGCAATTAATTTCTTGTGATGAGAACTTTTAATATCTACTCTCTCAGCAGCTTTCAAATATACAGTACAGAATTTTTAACTGGAGTCACCATGCTGCACACTACATCCCCAGGACTTATAACTGGAATTTTGTACCTGTTGAACACTTTCACCCATTTCTCCCACCCATAAGCTCACTCCCTGCCTCTAACAAGCACCAATCTTTTTCTGTATCCATGAGTTCGCTTTAAGATTTTTGTTCTTGTTGTTTTGTTCATTTGTTTTTGCTTTAGATTTCACATGAAATAAGGTCATAAGGTTTTGTTTTTGTCTGATTTATTTCACTTAACATGGTGCTTTCAAGGTCCATCCATGCTGTTGCAAATGGCAGGATTCACTCTTTTTTATGGCTGAATAATATTCCATTGTGTATATGTACATACCACATTTTCTATATCCATTCATTCCTTGGTAGACACTTAGGTTGTTTTCATGTCTTGGCAATTGTAAATAATGCTACAATAAATGTGGGAGTGCAGATAATCTTTTCGATTTTGTGTTTTCATTTCCTTTGGATAATGCCCAGAAGGGGAATTGTTGGATCATATAATAATTCTATTTTTAAATTTTTTGAGGAACCTCTGTACTGTTTTCCTTAGTGGTTGTACCAATTTACATTCCCACTAAAAGTGCACAAGAGATCCCTCTTCACGTCTGCACCAACACTTGTTATTTCTTGTCTTTTTGATAATAGCCATTCTAACAAGTGTGAGGTGATGTCTCATTGTGACTTTGATTCACATTTCCCTGATGATTAGTAATGTTGAGCACCTTTTCACGTACCTGTTGTCCATTTGTATGTCTTGTTTAGAAAAATGTCGACTCAAATCCTCTATCCAGATTATTTATTTTTTTGCTGTTGAGTTGTATGAGTTCTTTATATGTTATAGATATTAATTCCTGATCAGATGTATGATTTGCAAATATTTTGTTCCATCCCATAGGTTGCCTTTTCTTTTAGTTGATGATTTCCTTTGCTGTGCAGAAGCTTTTTAGGTTGATGTAGTTCCATTTGTTTATTTTTGCTTTTGTTGCTTTTGCTTCTGGTGTCAAATCCAAAAAAATCATTGCCAAGACTGTGAAGGGCTTACTACCTATGTTCTTTTCTAGGAGTCTTATGGTTTCAGGTCTTATGGTCAATTCTTTAATCCATTTGAGTTTATTTTGTTTCTGGTATAAAGTAGCAACCATTTCTGACACATAATGGATCAATTTCTTAACTTCAGGTTAAAATTTTCATGGAAATCTGAATATCTGTTCATTTCCCCCCACTACTTAGTGATTACTAATTCTTCTGTTATGTGTGAAACTTCAGTTAAAATATATGGAAGATTGCATAAAGATCCCAGATTTCATAATATATGATAATATATGTATATATCATTTAACTTTTAGCTGGAAACTGGGAGAGAAGGGAAGAATTATTTTCAGTATATAAATTAATAAATACATAGTCTGATGTATTATATATGAGTAAATGGCTTAATTTCAGTGCAATAAATTGAGTGATTTTAAGGAACATAAAAAGCACACAGAAATGCAAAGTTATGAGTACAGAGGAACATACTAGACTATTTTGACCTCCCACACATGTGGGAACAAATGTGAATTTGTTCACATCCTTGCCTCTACAGTTTCTTTCTCAGCCATGCTATTTTATCATGGTCCAAAATGAGGGGTTTACCTCTCTCGTAAAATAATCTTGTTATTGACAATCTAGTTATTGAATGTTTTCAGCTCAGAAAAGTGTTGTTAATGGCTCTTTGTGACATTTCAAATCCATCATATATATATGAAACACAAAAATTTTTCTTTCCTCAAACTTATGGTGATTACTTTGTCTAGAAGTCATAGTGTTTCACAGAAAACAAAACAAACAAACAAACAGAAAAACAACTTGCTTACCTGGTAAAGCTTTCTCAACTCTTTTCTCTTGTTACTTTTCTTAAAAAGAAAAAGGGTTTGATCGACAGAGGATTTATTCTAACAACAAATGTCTTTCTCACTTAGAAGGACAATTTTATAGCATTTCTTGAGCAACATTATCTTTTATATCAGACTGATGTGACAAAATAGGAGGTTTCAAAACAGCTTCAATATATAAACTTAAATGCTGCTTATTATCATCCCTCCAAAGTGTTTTCCACCTGAAATAAAAAGGTACATTCTAAGCTTGTTCATAGAAGGAAAAGGCTTATGTTTAGTATCAAAGGAGAACTTAAAGCTTGATCTTTCAAATAATCCAAAAGACACACTACAGTTCCACAAGGAATACTTCTCCAGATAAGTTTACTTACTGTCAGGATAAATGGTGTATTTGAAGGAAAGGGTAATAGCAGGTGTGAGAGCAGAAACTGTGAGTTTGATTCTGTGTCAGGGATCACAGGGAAGGTCTGCAGTTAGTACACAACAGAGGCAATCAGTTCAAGTTCAGAGAGAGAGTGGGAAAGAGAAATACAAAAAAAAGACTCTAATAAGTAGAGGGCTTCAAGAAAGCACTGTATATGACACTACCAATACATGCTGCTGGGTCTATTCTATTCAGAGTGAAAGCCCACATTGCTGACATTCACAGGTGCTTCCTACTTTGTGGTCCTGAAGCACTTTGAAATGTGTGTGCTGGCTCATTTCTCCTAGTGCTTTGTTTATGGTCAGCTGGAAGAGTTGGACATAAGAACTAATAATTTCATTGAAACTATCTTGTTCTTCTGTTTCCTTAACACCTAACTTGCATTGTATTAGGTCATCTAATCCTTAACATTTCTTTGTTTAAATTTGTTTTTCTTTATTTTAAATTATATCTGATTTAAAACTCAGATTTTTTCCCTTTCTCCTTGAATAGGTTAGAGGGATGTGGCTGGAGGCATATCTGAGAGGAGAAAGATATGATTTTAGTTAAGGCTACCAAGCAGACTTTTGTTTACCTGAGTAATGGATACTTCGTGAAGAGGAGAAGTGAATTGTTTAAACGAAAGGAAGGATTTTGGAGGCTTAATAGAGAGGAGATAAAGCACATGACAGGACAGAAGAATCTGAGTAAGAACAGGAAATTCTAATGGAGAATTTAAGTACATTTTGCTATATGGTGTATAGTGTAAATTTTCTTATCTGTTGCCTTAGGGAATCTTCAGTAAGATATCTGCTTTTTATTGATCCATTTTGAAACTGAAATTGCTTTAGGAGCTGTATCCAAGTACCAAGTCTTGAGTCAAGATGGGTGTTGAGAGAAAACAGGCAGACCACAAGAATATTGTTAAAACCATTTTATGGGCTTCCCTGGCGGCGCAGCGGTTGAGAGTCCACCTGCCGATGCAGGGACACGGGTTCGTGCCCCGGTCCGGAAAGATCCCACATGCCGCGGAGCGGCTGGGTCCGTGAGCCATGGCCGCTGAGCCTGCACGTCCGGAGCCTGTGCTCCGCAACGGGAGAGGCCACAACAGTGAGAGGCCCGCGTACTGCAAAAAAAAAAAAAAAACCCAAAAAAACCCAAAAAACATTTTATAAGAAGTAAGTAAAATAGCTCCTTTGTGAGACTGACAGTTAAATGTGTAATCATGGATACCATTACTAAGTTTCAACAATAGTTAACATTTACTGAGTACCTATTATATACTAGGCGTACACTAACAACTTTCTATGCATTATTCCATTTAATCCACAGTAGGCTGTTGTAATAGTTTGTTACAGTAATGACCCCCATGAGTCCTCACTCCCTTTTCTGGTCCCTTCTAACACTGACTCTAACTTTGGCAGTCTGACCTACTTGATAGTATGACATCAGCATAGGGGATGAAAATAGACTTGATAAGCACTTAGACATTCGTGCTTGCCCTCTTGGAATGCTCCTTTTTTTTTTTTTTTTTTTTTTGCTGTATGTGTGCCTCTCACTGCCGTGGCCTCTCCCGTTGTGGAGCACAGGCCCCGGACACGCAGGCTCAGCGGCCATGGCTCACGGGCCCAGCCGCTCCGCGGCATGTGGGATCTTCCTGAACCGGGGCACGAACCCTGTGTTCCCTGCATCGGCAGGCGGACTCTCAACCGCTGTGCCACCAGGGAAGCCCTGGAATGCTCCTTTTATCACAAAGTGAAGAAGCCTTGCCCAGCGTCCTTAAGGATGAAAGACCCCAAGGAGAGTGAAGGCCAGCCATCCTAGCTAAGTCCAGTCCCCATCCAATTCACTATTTGAAAGCAGCTGCCTGAGTAAGCCCAGGCAGGGCTGCAGAATTTAATCTAGGAATTGGGAGAAATAATACATTCTTGTTGCTTCAAGTCATTAAGTTTTGAGGGCATGGATGCTCCCTTACAAAAAAATCTAAATCATGTAACATTGGCTTTGGGATGAGGTGAGGTAAAATCTAGAAAGGAACAAGGACATAGTTGTTGGAGGTTGAAAAAGCAGTGATTAAACTGCTACTGGAGGATAGAATGATGATAGCCTATGTTTTATAGTAGCAAAACAATTGGCAAAATTATCAGCTGTTTTTAAGTGAAAGATAGTGATCTGGCAGAGCAGATTTCCAAACACCATGTTAAAAATTCCAGTTGACCCTTATAGTTGCATAGTAACAAATAACTGGAACAACCCTGGAGTTAAGTACCATTATTGTTACCAATTTACAGATGAAGGAGTTAGGCTTAAAGAGGTAAATTTGCTCAAAGTTATTGCAATGCTATTTGTTATAGGGTAGATTTGGCTCTATTTGTTTATGGATATCCATTTTAGAGTCTACTCAAGTGGGAGGATGTATTTCTAATATCATCATGAAATAGCTATATATGGTTAAAATTTTTGTGAATCATAAACCATTAGAATGGTGGCAAATTTTCAACGTAATGGAAATACAAAAATTCTATATATCTCATATATTGTAAAATGATATACCCAACGGGTATAAGTTGCTTGCCTAGTTCTTACAACAAATATTTTTAAAAATTATTCATGACATGCAGTTCAACAAGATCTAATCTTATATTATTCATCCTACCTTTCGTTTAAATAATATAACATCACTCAGGCCCTTGTAAGTCACCTTTAGTCCAAAGTATAGCAGTAACCACTCAAGAGGTTTCCTTCTGTTCATGTCTTCCCTTACTTAGCTCATTCTCCTTGTTAAATGTCTTTAGATAAACATCTGAAAATACCATTTTCAGGTTATATATGTACTAAAATATTTTTAATAGTTTCTCTCTGGCCAAATTTATTTATTCTAGAACTACATTTCTCCTCAACCTATCCTTCCTTTTATGTATGTAACTCTCTTTTTATTAAATTTTTATATAATTTTTTAATGTTTACTTTCCATTTAGAGTTATTGGCTATATTCCCCATTATGTACAATGCATCACTGAGTCAATCTTATACCCAACAGTTTGTACCTCTTAATCCCTCACACCTATATTGCCACCCCCCCCAAAAAAAACTGGTAACCATTAGTTTGTTCTCTATATCTGTGAGGCTGCTTCCTTTGTTATATTCACTAGTTTGTTGTATTTTTTAGATTCTACGTACAAGAAATATCATACAGTATTTCTCTTTCTCTGTCTGATTTATTTCATTTAGCATAATGCCCTCCAAGTCCATCCATGTTGCTGAAAATGGCAAATTTCATTCTTTTATCCATTCATCTGTTGATGGACACTTAGGTTGTTTCCATGTGTTGGCTATTGTCCATTACTCTTTTAAATTAGCTCTGTTTATTTGCCAAACTGGTCTAATCAAAGTTTCTTGAGCACATCTCTCATTTACATGCCTGTGTATATTGTGTTCTCTCACCTAGAATGCCCTTCTATATCCTTTATTAAGGCTTATCAGCCATTATTATCTGTTAGCCTTCATAGGAGTAGTAGAGATAACAAACTGGTTTTATTTAGCATGCCACCTACATCCAACTAGTTGTGTTTTCCTGGGTCACTTCTTTGAAATGATTACTATTGTCATACTCAAGGTGATGGAAGCTTCCCAAGACACACTACAATTTGTTCAAAGCCCAAGAGTGAAAAAAAAAATCGTTGTCTTCACAGTGTTCATTCTGTATACAGACCGATAGAGCATGATTTCTGAAATAATTCAGATAAAAGAAACAGTAAACTTTTGTGAATAAAAAGGTTTGCTTCAGATCCATTCTCATTATACCCCAGCAGATGTATGGAGACACACATTACAATTTTCACCTTCTTAACATTTATTTGGATGTTTAAAGCTATGTAATCCAAATATTTCAGACCTTTAAAAAATTTGGCATTGATGACATGCAGCCAAACATTACTTAAGACACTAAAGTATATTAAATGTGTATGGTTGGTTTATTGGTGAGGTAGAATTAGTTCACACTACTAGAAAGAGCCATAGTGAGATCTAACTTTGCATTGTCATAAATATAGCTCAACTAGAAAATGGAGTTTATTTAAGACAAAATTGAACTAAACATTCCTAAACCATTTCCATATTAAAAAAGAGTTACTAGGGCTTCCCTGGTGGTGCAGTGGTTGAGAGTCCGCCTGCCAATGCAGGAGACACGGGTTCGTGCCCCGGTCCGGAAAGATCCCACATGCCGCGGAGCGGCTGGGCCCGTGAGCCATGGCCGCTGAGCCTGCACATCCGGAGCCTGTGCTCCACAACGGGAGAGGCCACAACAGTGAGAGGCCCGCGTACCGCAAAAAAAAAAAAAAAAGTTACTAAAACTTTCAAAATGACAGAGATTTATAATGATATCTTGTTTTTTCTATAACAAAATATTAAGTAAAATTAATCAAATCAAGTTCTAGAGTCTAGAAACTACATCTTCCAGTTAACTTGACAATTTGAGATGATATCCTTCTAAGGAATAAAATCATTTTTTACATACCAGACAATTGTGATGATAGATTTCTATTCTAATTTTTCATTTAGTTTATATCAAAGCAATGGTAATGAGAAAAGTCTAGTGGTAATGATAGTAATGAATTTGCCTGCATAATTACTGTCACAGGTATAAAATGAATTGAAATTAGCAAATATATTCTTTACTATTTTTTCATGTCATTGTTGAAAAGGAAAAGGCAAGGAAGGGAGAAGGGCAGTGAAATAAAGGCAGGAGGCTCAGACAGAGAAATACAGTTCTTTTAAAATATGTCATTGCCAAATATTGCCTCTTGTTATGGACTGAATGTCTGTTTCCCTCCCTCAAATCCATCTGTTGAAGCTCTGGCCTCCAGTGTGATAGTATGTTGAGGTGGCAGCCTTTGGAGGTAATTAGATTTAGATGAGGTCATGACAGTGGGGTCCTCATGACTGGATTAGCGTCCATATCAGAAGAGACTAGACAACTAGTTCTCTCTCTCAGCCATGTGGGGCTACAATGAGAAGTCAGCCACCTGCAAGCCAGAAAGAATACTTCCCAGCCTCTAGAACTGTGAGAAATAAATATCTGTTGATTAAACCATCTAGTTTGTGGACTTTTGTTATAATAGCTCAAGTTGAGTAATGCACCTCTTAAGGGTCAGACTTTAAAAATGTGCATAAACCACTGGGCAACTTCTTGAGTCAGACGCTGCACTCAGTGAAACATTCTGAAAGAACATTAAAATACTGGTAGATATTAAACAGCTGACAGGTTTATTGAAGGAAAAAGTCATTGTGTTCTATGGAAAGGTAAGGACTCTGCATCTTACTTCCATATCCTTGGCCCTAGCACAATGCTCATCTCAGAAATATATGTCCTCAAAAAGATTCTGTGAATGAATGAATGATATTTCTGTTATTGTATATAATATCCAGTCCAAATAAAAATGGCTGCCTATTGACTTTCAGATAATTAGCAAAATTTAAGAAACTTTTATATTGCAAAATAATGACTGATGAATGTTTGCCTTTATTACTTACCAATTTAGGAGGCCCCAATGTTCATTTAAATATACACAAATGAGTGTGTGTGTGTGTGTGCATGTGCCTACATGTGTGTGTGGCTAAGTACCCATGACTTAATAGTCAGAGAACTCTTTGTTACTCAGGTCGTATATGTGTACTTTTCATAGATTATTACCTTTATCTAAAGCCCCTTTTCCTTTTTTCTTACCTTTGTCTTCTACTGCAAATAACCAAGAAACACTGTTTAGTGAGAATATAGGAGATGCCTGATAATTAAAATTTAGGATAAGTTGCAAACACTACCTGAAAATATGGACACTTTTAAAATTCTAAATTTTTTTGTAGTATTAGCATAGATGCAGAAAAGTTCACTAATAGTAAGTGTACATCTTCATGAATTTTAACCCATCAAACAAACAAACAAACCCAACATCTAACCACA